TGTGGAGGCACATGCTTGTAGTCCCAGCTACTCGGTAGCCTGAGGCAGGAGAATTGCTTGAACCCAGGAGGAGGAGGTTGCATAGCTGAGATCACACCATTGCACTCCAGCCTGGGCAACAGAGCAAAAGCTCTCTCAAAATAAAAAAAAAATTATCTTTTTTCCCAATATTTCATGCTGAAATTTTCAGACATCAAAATTGAAAGAATTTCACAGTGAACACCCATATACCACTGCCTGTAATCTACCATTAACAAATTACCGGAGTTTTCTGAAAGGGATTTAGAGCTGATTTATATTTAGAGGGGAAACACACACACACACACACACACACACACACCCCTACCCCCACACAATTGTACATCCTTTTTAAGAATAAGGAAAAATGTTAAAGTTCACAGTCAAATCCAAATAACCTTTTTTTTTTTTTTTGAGATGGAGTTTCGCTCCTTTTGCCCAGGCTGAAGTGCTATGGCGTGATCTTGGCTCACTGCAACCTCCCAAGTTCAAGTGATTCTCCTGCCTCAGCCTCCCGAGTAGCTGGGTTTACAGACATGCACCACCATGTCCGGCTAATTTTGTATTTTTAGTAGAGATGGGGTTTCATCATGTTGGTCAGGCTGTTCTCAAACTCCTGACCTCAGATGATCCACCTACCTCGGCCTCTGAAAGTGTTAGGATTACAGGCATGAGCCACCACGCTCGGCCCCAAATTACTTTTTAAATAAAGCATCTTTTTTCTTTAAATTGTTGTGGGTATTTTGTCATATGGACTATTTTAAATGGCTTAAAATGCCCGTATTATTCCAGGTTGTCATATGCTGGGTCAAATCATGTACTGGCATTTCAGTTACTCAATGCCACAAGAATTTTCCATTTCAGTAATTTTATTTATACAGTTTATTGTCCATTTTATTTATTTTTTTGTTGGGTTGGACTGCTGTTTTATCTTGCATCTTGGATGTTCTTCACATTATCCTGTTTGTTTTTTCATCAAAGCAGGAGAAGTCAGAGTCCAGTCAAGTGCATTAGACCCAGCGCTCTTGGTCCTCTTAAAAGAAAAGGTATGTAGCAGCATGGTGACTATAGTTAATGCTATTGTGTGATATGCTTGAAATTTGGTAAGAAAGCAGATCTTAAGTGTTCTTACCACACACATAAAAAAGGTGACTAGGAAAAGCAAAAGATATGCTAAAAACTTGACTGTAGGTGGGGGGCAGTGGCTCATGCCTGTAATTCCAGCACTTTGGGAGGCCGAGGCAGGTGAATCACAAAGTCAGGAGATCTAGATCATCCTGGATAGCACGGTGAAACCCTGTCTCTACTAAAAATACAAATATTAGCTGGGCATGGTGGCATGTGCCTGTAGTCCCAGCTACTTGGGAGGCTGAGGTAGGAGAATTGCTTGAACCTGGGAGGCGGAGGTTGCAGTGAGCCGAGATCACGCCACTGCACACCAGCCTGGGTGACAGCAAGACTCCGTCTCAAAAGAAAAAAAAAAAGCTTGACTGTGGGCCAGGTGCAGTGGCTAATGCCTGTAGTAATCCCAGCACTTTGGGAGGCTGCGGAGGGTGAATCACCTCAGGTCAGGAGTTTGAGACCAGCATGCGCAATGTGGCGAAACCCTGTCTCTACTAAAAATACAAAAATTAGCTGGGAGTGGTGGTGAGTGCCTGTAATCCCAGCTACTCAGGAGGCTGAGGCAGGAGAATTGCTTGAACCTGGGAGGCGGAGGTTGCAGTGAGCCAAGATTGTGCCACTGCACTCTAGTCTGGGCGACAGAGTGAGACTGTCTCAAAAAAACAAAACTTGACTGTAATCATCATTTCACAGTATGTACATACATCAAGTCATTACCTTGTATACCTTAAATATATAATTTTATTTGTCATTTATATCTCAGTAAAGCGGGGGGGGGCGGGGGGAAGAAAAAACCTATGCATCATGCTTCTGCTCTTAAACCTAGCCAAGCTTGAATTAACAGCTAGAACTCCTGTCTGAAATGAGCTAACGGCATTGCTCTCTTGTGTTCTAGGGAATTCTTCCAAATATTTGCTCTACTGATTCTTAATTTTGTAAATGAGTTATTTGATACATTTATATTTTCTTATACTTCATAACAGTTTTATTCATATATTCATATTATCATTATATATTCAAAAATTGACTCTGATCCAAATATGAAAGAGATGCATAGTTTATCAACTGCAGAAATATATGCTAATGCCATAGCAAACATATCCATAAATGTGCTGTATACTGAAATACAAGGTGAGGTTTACCCCCTCTTCAAATTATGCTTCATCAAAGCAAGAACTGCCTTATATTCAATTCTAGAGAGTTTTTTTTAATATATAACAGGATGCTCTCAGTTACCTTATTTTGAACCACAAGGCAGTAGACTCAAATAGTTTAGTTTAGCATCAGTCAACACTAGTGTTAGATGCTTATAGAGGACACTGATGGCATCTGTTTTTAAAAAGGCAATACAGGTCTGTAGTCACAGCACTTCAGGAGGCTGAAGAGGGAGAATTGCATTGAGCTCAGGAGTTGAGACGTGGCAAAAACCCATCGCTACAAAAAATACAAAAATTAACCAGGCATTGGTGGCTTACACCTGTAGTCACAGCTACTTAGGAGGCTGGGGCTGGAGAATTGCTTGAGCCCAGGAAGCAGAGGTTGCAGTGAGCCTATATCGCAGCCTGGGCCACAGAGTGAGACCCTGTCCCTTTTTTTTTTTTTTTTTTTTTTAAAGCAACACAGGTTTTTGGGTTTTTTTGTTTTGTTTTTTATTTTGGAAATTGAGTTTCGCTCTTGTCCAGACTGGAGTGCAGTGGTGTGATCTTGTCTCACTGAAGCCTCTACTTCTCTGGTTCAAACAATTCTACTGTCTCAGCCTACCGAGTAGCCCGTCCCCACACCACACCTGGCTAATTTTTTTGTATTTTTAGTAGAGACCAGATTTCACCATGTTGGCCAGTCTGGTCTTGAACTCTTGATCTCATGTGATCCACCCATCTTGGCCTCCCAAAGTGCTGGGATTATAGGTGTGAGCCACTGAGCACGGCCAGCACCACAGGTTCACTCATCATTCCTGGGGATGTGACTATATGATTGCAACTGTCAGGTGTCGTTAAAAAGAGTCTTCACAATAACTTTTTTTTTTTTTTTTTTGAGGCAGGGTCTCACTCTGTCACCCAGGCTGGAGTGCAGTGGTGGGATCTCAGCTATTGCAACCTCTGCCTCCCAGGTTCAAGCGATTCTCCTATCTCAGCCTCCTAAGTACTTGGGATTATAGGAGTGAGCTACCATGCCTGGCTACTTTTTGTATTTTTAGTAGAGACAGGGTTTTGCCATGTTGGCAGAGCTGGTCTCGAACTCCTGGCCTCAAGTGATCAACCTGCCTCATCCTCCCAAAGTACTGGGATTACAGGTGTGAGCCACTGCACCCAGCTAATAACAATAAGTTTGTTGTTTTTTTTTTTCTTTTCAAATTGAGATGGAGTCTTGCTCTGTCACCCAGGCTGGAGTGCAGTGGCGTGATCTTGGCTCACTGCAACCTCTGCCTCCTGGGTTCAAACGTTTCTCCTGCCTCAGCCTTCGAATAGCTGGAATTACAGGTGTGCACCACCACGCCTGGCTAATTTTTGTAGTTCTAGTAGAGATGGGGTTTTGCCATGTTGGCCAGGATGGTCTTGAACTCCTGACTTCAGGTGATCTGCCTGCCTTGGCCTCCCTAAGTGCTGGGATTACAGGTGTGGCCAAGAATAACTTTTAAAAGCAATTCAGCAAGTGATTTCTTTATGCAGATCACCTTCAGGGCCAATAAAGAGACTAACTTTTCTGTTAGGGGAACAGGTATTTGTGGCTTTCAGAACTTTCCAGTCATAGGATCGTACACAGATTCCAACAGTGCTATATTTCAGACAACTTAAAGATGGTGTGCTCTAGAAAATAGTTACTGATATGGTGACAGTATTTGTATTTAGTGTATAACTTTTATTTTATAAACAGTCTTCCCTTAATCTTGTAGGGAGTTATTTGTAGTCCTGGGGATGTTCTCAGTAGCTAGCAAGTGAAAATAACAGTTGGAAATAAAGCTATTATTGTCGTTATTATTATTAACTTAAAATTTGTTGCAGGAAGTTGAAGGAATTAGTATGGTGGTTTAGTTTTACAGCTATTCCGAAACACACCACCAGATGGAGGAATTCTTTGCTCAAAAGGGCTTTAGTCTTTTGCTAACGAGGTGAACTGAAAAGCCCAGCAGCAACTTTTAAAAGCTGCATTTTAAAGCGTGGAAAAAACCAACTTCTCCAGATCTTCAGCATTTTTCAGCATCGTTCCAGAGGAAAGATAATATGAATTAACTGATAACATGGACAAAGTGAATGTTGCATTTATCCTTGCTTGATCTTTTTTCATTCTAAGAATCTTGTACACTTTTAAGTTCAAAGTTACTCATTTTCTACTGGAGTGTAGACAGGCTCATGAATTAAATTGTCTTGAACGTTCTGTTTTCAAAGTCAGAGGAAGAACTTCAGAACCAGGAAATGTGCATGGTAGAAATGAAATCAGAGCCTCTTTTTAAAGCAGCTTATTCTAACTTAGGGTTTTACTCTTAGTACTCCCGGTAACAAAATGTTACGCATTATCCCTGTTGGTGCAAAGTTTTTCTATTAGTAATTCTGAGAAAATCTGTAGGATTGAGGTGGTCGGTACAATATCAGTTTTGTGAATTGAGTAAGATTTGCTTTTGATTACAGATGTGTTTTCAAACTTACCTTTTTAAACTTCACTAAATAGTGTGAAAGCAACTTTTTACTTATACACTACTTATCGGACTACACATTTTTTAATCCATTTGACACCATCTCCGGAAATCTTCAGATATCAAAATATATAAAAAGGCCTTGCTAATCATCTAGCATGAAATAGTCACTGTGAGTTTCAGCTGTTTGGGAATTCTTTATCTCTGCTGTGGTTAGCTTTGCTTCATTTTGCCTGATGCAGTCAGTGTTCTGCTTTCCTATGAATGTGAGTATGTACATAGCACGCTGTGGATATTGAGTGAAGTTTTTTAGGGCTGCTGAGCTTTTGGCTGAGTTTATGTGGCAGCAGATTTCTTTCATATAAAGCACATGGGAAAATAGCTTTTAAGCAATGGCTTGAAGAAGTATTCTGAGCTTTGGTTAAACAAAGATCATCCCATTTTAGCACCACACCTGTATTTGTAAAATTGTTTTATAGCAGCATCATCTTTTTCTGTTTTAGGTGAAATGGAGACGGAAAGTCAGCCCAAGAGACTCTTCCAAGGCACTACCAATATGCTATCTCCGGAGGCTGCGCAACTGTCTGATCTCAGTTCATGGTAAACAAATGAAGTAAAATGAAAAGGATATTAGAGTATAATCCATTTTAAAAGAGTCACTTTGAAAGCATATTGGGATAATTTAAAATGTTTTCAACTTCTTATCCATGCTCCCATGAAGGGGAAATCTCTACGGAGGATAATGTGAAAAAACAGATTATTCAAAAGTCAAGAGAACTTCCTTTGGAAATGTATGTGTCTTTCTGACACCTTTGCTTTCCTTCTCAGCTCCTGCTAGGTCAGACTGTCACTAGCTGCCAATGGTGTGGCAGAGTGTCAACTGCTGGCTGGTGTGAGAAAGAGTCCCTGGGTGGCTGTGGGCAATGTGTACTGATGGTAGCTGCTCTGCCTTTATTTTGTATCAGGTCCTTTAGACTTAGAGGATACCAGGGTTCTCACAAGCATAGTATTCTCTGATTAGCATTATCTATTGTTATCTTTTTGAAAATTATGAGATATTTCGTCACAATGCTAAGGTTTGATTTTTATAATAACAAAATCTACGGTCTAGTCACACACAAGTTTTTAAAATCTTACTCATTTTAGTTTAGGTCTTTAACTTGAGGGCCTTCAGTGTTTTCATGAGAAAGCTGACTTCTTTTCTTATACCTGAAGTTGAGCACTTGAGTGCTTATGCATATACTGGAAGGAAGGGGAAGGGATAAGTAGCAGTGACCAGGTAATAATTTGAAATCTTTCAGTATGTTCTGATCAACTCACTAATACTTGTGTAATCAATTGTGTACTGCTTTTCAGAATTTTTTTGTTACCTGAGTTTTATGGGTGAAGGTCTTTTTTTGTTGTTTTATTGAGATAGGCTCGCTCTGTTGCTCAGTCTGGAGTGCACTGGTGTGATCTTGGCTCACTGTAGCCTCAGCCTCTTGTGTTCAAGAGATTATCCTGTCTCAGCCTCCCGATTAGCTGGGACTGAAGTCGTAGGCCACCATGCCAAGCTAATTTTTTTTGTATTTTTATTGGAGACAGGGTTTCGCCATGTTGGCCAGGCTGGTCTCGAACTCCTGAACTCAGGTGATCCATCCACCTCGGCCTCCCAAGGTGCTGGGATTACAGGTGTGAGCCACCGCGCCTGGCCTGAAGGTCTTTTTAAAAAGCCCACAAAGTCACTCAGTTTAAAAATAGCAAGATCATACCCTCTAAATGGAAGAAGTGTATAAGCCACTTATAAGGTATAAAGATGGACGATCCCTTCTTCCTGAATCCCTTATTCGTTGTTCTGTGTGAAATAACCTGTACTTCTAGTTGACCAAGAAGTCACAGATTATTCTAATTTATTAGTCTTGTTGATCAGTACTGTTCCAACCTTGGGACAGTTGCCTTTTAGATTGTTCTAGCTATTTTCAGCCCACGGTCTCTTTTTCCTCTCATCTCTGTCTGTCCTTACTACTTCAGTGTGCTAATTTTGGTACAGAGTGCCTTTCCAGGTATGTAGATGATGGCAAAGAGAAAACTTCTGAAGCTTGTCAAGAGGACTATTGGATGAAACTCTATCCTTAGTGGAAAGTGCATATCACTTTTATGGTAAAGTGTGTTTTAATATAGGCACATGACTATAAATAGGTTTGCTTACCTAGTTACTAACCAAGTGACCAAGTTAAGTAAAAGGTATGACAGCATTTTACCAAGCTAAAAACATATAGGGTGAGGTGACTTATTTTTATCTTGTCTTTGGCTCACAGTGCAGGATGCCATAAAACAGGTTCATGGAAATAAGCAGGAAAGGAAAGAGAAGGTGCAGTATTTGCCAAGGGTCTTCTCTCATTGTCCAGACCTTTATTCCTCTGAGCAGCAAAAACTAGAGATGATTTCATCTCTAGCAGTGGCTATTGTGAGGCTTCTATTTCCTTGTCGCTACTCCCTACTCCGTAGACCCATGAATGGCTAGGAGAGCCTTGGGAACATCAACACTAGTGATGAAGGAAACTTTTTGTTCTATTTTTTTTTTTTTTTTGAGATGGAGTCTCGCTCTGTTGCCCAGGCTGGAGTGCAATGGCTCAACTCACTGCAACCTCTGCCTCCCAGGTTCAAGCGATTCTCCTGTCTCAGCCTCCCGAGTAGCTTGGATTACAGGCATGTGCCATCATGCCCAGCTAATTTCTGTATTTTTAGTAGATACGAGGTTTCTCCTTGTTGGCCAGGCTGGTCTTGAACTTCTGATTTCAGGTCATCCACCCACTTTGGCCTCTCAGAGTGCTGGGATTATAGGTGTGAACCACCGCGCCCAGCCAACTTTTGATTCTTAAACATAAAAAGCTGTTACCTCACACAGGGGGCCTTTGCTTTATTCATAGCCACTCATAGAATGTCAACAAGCCAAGTATGGCTAAAGTAATATCTTACTCAAAATTCACAAAATGAAGTGTCAAAGATAGTTAGGTGATTAATTAACTTCCAGTTGAGGTTTTTAGTCAACTTGCAGCATCTGTACTTCTGAGGTTATTAAAGCTTAAAATGGTGCTAAGACTTTGGGGACACCTTATATACTAATGATGCTGACATTTTTGCCTATAATTAAGAGATTTTTAAATACGATTTGTTCCTTTTATATTAAAACTGGATCCTGGCTGGGTGAGGTGGCTCACACCTGTAATCCCAGCACTTTGGGAGGCTGAGGTGGGTGGATAACTTGAAGTCAGGAGTTCAAGGCCATCCTGGGCAACATGATTAAACCCGTCTGTACTAAAAATACAAAAACTAGCTGGATGTGGTGGCACACACCTGTAATCCCAGCTACTCGGGAGGCTGAGGCTGGAGAATTGCTTGAACCTGTGAGGCAGAGGTTGCAGTAAGCCAGGATCGTGCCACTGCACTCCATCCAGCCTGGATAACAGCGAGACTCCACTCAAAAAAAAAAAAAATCAGATTCTGCTTTTCTGGAAACGTTTCTTCTCTTTCTCCTTTCCTTTTCCTTTCCTTGTTTGGTGTATTGCCCAGACTGGAGTACAGTGGTGTGATCATGGCTCACTGCAACCTCTGCTTCCTGACCTCAAGCCATCCACCCACCTCAGCCTCGCAAGTAGCTGGGACTACAGGTGCACACTATCACACCCGGCTAATTTTTGTTTTTGTAGAGATGGGGTTTTGCCGTGTTGGCTAGACTGGGTCTTGAACTCCTATGCTCAAGTGATCCACATGCCTTGGCCTCCCAAACTGTTGGGATTACAGGCGTGAGCCACCACACCCAGTCTTTTTAATGCAGTTTCATTAATCAGAATCAGACATGCATATTTTTAGAAATGGGGATAGAGATAGGAACCAGCTGTGTTCTGGTTTCTGCTACCACAGGTGGCAATCTGCTTGATAACAAAACTAAGAAATCTGTGCTAGGCTTGATAGGACTGTGGCTAATTTTGTTTATTTACCTGCCTGCTGTTAATCTGATAGAACTGAGTTTATTGACTGAACAAGGCCCAAAGTGGTTCAGCCAGATAGCATGATAGCATGAATCACACCAAATATCTTAGTTTTGTGATACTCTATCATTGGATGGTTTTAATGATCACTATTTTAAGGAAACTACAGAAACAGCTGCCCTCTATCTTTTAGAGAGCAGTAAAAGGATCAGATCATTAGTAGATGTTATCTTATAATTTAAATCTTTATAGTTTATTCCCTGCCCCACCCAGCAAAAGGAGAGATGGCTTTTACAGCCTTTAAAGTTTATATATTACATAACAATCTTTAAAAGCTGACATCTTTGAAGCATAAATTAAATTTGAGACTTGAGTGTGGACCCATTTGGAGTTTGTATCCAGTTAGGCATACTTTTTATTTATTTATTCATTTTACTAAATGAAAATTCTTAAATCTTTGCCAATCAAATCTGGAGGACATTATCAACCACAAGACAGGAATTATGTCATTTTGCATTTATTTAGTCCTTACGGACATCAAAATTTGAGCGTAACTCAGCCTACCTTTGTGCTTTGATTCTTTCTGAATGTTGCGAGCTCTTAATCTGCTCTTCGTTCTGTTGGGAGTGAGACTGTGTGTATCTGCAGCATACTATATAAAATAAAGGAGTTTTTGGGGCTGCTGGCCATACAGTGACAATTAAGTGATAGTCTGTTTCTTTTTCATGAAAGGAAAACTTCTCTCATGAATTTTCTTACTCTGTGCATCAGTGTTAATGTGATAGTTTTAACACATTTTTTGTTAAATTAGTCTTAGTGGTTCTAACATGTTGCCCAGGCTGGAGTGCAATGGTGTGATCTCAGCTCATCACAACCTCCACCTCCCGGATTCTCCTGCCTCAGCATCCTGAGTAGCTGGGATTACAAGCGTGTGCCACCATGCCCAGCTAATTTTGTATTTTTAGTGGAGATGCAGTTTCTCCACGTTCGTCAGGCTAGCCTTGAACTCCTGACCTCAAGTGATTTGCCCACCTCGGCTCCGCAAAGTGCTGGGATTATAGGTGTGAGTCACTGTCCCTGGCCTCTAACATTATTTTTAATGTTATATGTGTCATGTCAAAATTTCATCATGAATATGTGACAGGTACAGAAAATAAGTTTTAGTCATTAATTAATAGGAATGTGTATGTATACACATTCATCTCTAAAGTATATGTATACACACACACAGAGTATACTTTAGAAATGTCGATGTGAGCAACTTAGACATCTGTGCTCATAGTTTAAAACTCCTGTCTACTTCCACCATAAAAATGAGCAAGCCTGTCCTCAGCATGACTGCAGACTGATATTTAAATATGTGATCTTAAAAACATAGAGGTTATTCAGAAGGA